TCTCTGGAAATCAATCGATAAATTTTGAAAAATAGAAATTTCCCTTTGTCAATGAAATCCTTCATAAGTATACAGTTTCGACCCGAAAGAGAAGATAGATCTGTTTGAACTAATCTGATTAATTATATTTAACATGGAACAATAACACAAGAAAACAGTTTTAGAAACTAAAAGTAATTTCTGGTAAGAAAAATTTTACAAAGAACTGGAACATGAAGTACTAGTTTTCCTTTTTTTTTCTTTTTGGACGGAGTAGTAGTTGTAAGTCATAACAGAAGAGTTATAGTTCTTTTCCAGATTGATATGATACAATGCCTGTGTCATTTGTGAATGATACAAGTCAAAATAGAGAAATCAAAACATTGAACCTTCCTAGCAGAAGGCAGCACTTAGTGAATCTGCATCTATATAGCAACAGTTGGGTGCATTTCTTGGAAGGAATACTCAAACATTATTATCAGACATAAATAAAAGTAACCGCACACGCAAAAGTGATACAAAGAAAAATGAAGGAGAATAACAATTAAACTGAAATCTTAAACATGCCTCTAGGCTCTAGCCTATTAGTAATAAATAAGCATACCTTTTCAGCTGACAGCATTTTTGTCAACTGCAAGGAGTGTTCCTTCTCTGAAGGCACAATCAAGAAGAAATCAGTGGTAAGTTAAAAAACTATCTCAGCAAATGGCCCAGATCTTATATCAGCATAATGTATTGGGAAACACATTATTCTTATATGGAGCGAGCGAGATGGCCACTTACAATAATTTTGAAAAAGAAAAAAAAAAATCCATCATTAATGGGACAAATCTAAATCTTAGATAAAAAATGAAACTGGCAAAAGACATAGTTGGGATTAGTCAAAAGTATATTTACAAGCAGTAAAATATCTCCTTGAGAACCCAAAACTCTAGCAAATGAAGAGGTTGGAGTTCTCTTTGAACAAATGGTGATATCGTAAAAAATATGTCCCAATTTTCTTTACATTCTTGCCCCTTCATTTGGTAGATGATCAATGTGGAATTTAAACAAAGATCATATAATTGCTAAACCCCAGAGTAGTGCTTCCACAGGCACTAATTGTAATAACTGGGAAAAAAAAAAAGAGAAAATTGGTATGTATGTATAGATGTATATGTAGAGTGAGGATTTCAAATGTGAAACGACGTCGTTTGGTGAAGAGGGGGAGGAAACGGTGCTGTTTGGAGAAGAGGAGGAAAACGACGTCGTTTGAAGGAAACGGCGTCGTTTGGAGAAGTGGAGGAGGAAACAACGTCATTTGGAGAAATGGGGAGTGGACAGTTGGGATGAGGTGAGATGGACGGGCAGGATGAGAGGCTGTGGGGTATAAATAGGAGAAGGGAAAGAAAAAAAAAAAAAAAGAAAGAGAAGGAGGTAAGAAAAGAAAGAAAACAGAGAAGAGAGAGATCGAGGGCGGGAAGAGAAGGTGAGAGAGAGAGAGAGAGAGAGGAGCCGGATTGGAGAGAAACGAGAAGAGAGAGAGAGCAGAAAGGAGGACAGTGACGGTGCGAGCCACGAGAGGAAGGAAGATGGAGATGAGAGGTACGGTAAATTTTGAGTTCTTGTATAGGTGTGGTGTGATTTCGAATTAGTGATTTTAAGTTGAGAAATCTAGGTTTTGTTTAGTATATAGAGCAATAAAACTACGATGTAGGGACAGGCGAGTGTAGATGGCAGGTGGAATCGTGGAGGTGTTCACGGAGGAGACCGCGGGAAGAGAGAAAATGAAGACGTTGGAGAGTGGGAGAGGTCCTGAGAGAGTGAGGATATTTTGTGTAAAATGAGTGTAAGTACATGGTGAAGGCCGTAGGAGGAGAGAGTGAACGAGGAGGTCGGTGAGTGAATGAGATCCGTGAGGGCGAGGAGATTTTGTATGTGTGCGAGTGGGATGCATGGAGGAGGCCGCAGAAGGAGACAGAAGGAAGAATGAGGTTGGTGAGTGTCCTGTGAGAGAGATGAGAGTTCGTGATTGTGTGAGTGTGAGTTGTGATACTTTGAATAGGCCGTGGGAGGTAGAAGAAGAAGGAAAGCGGTGTGTGAGGTATGTGAGAGAGAGGAGAGTTCATGATTGTGCATGGGGTCCTTAGTGTAGGCTGCATAAGGAGGGAGAATGAGAAGCTCGATGTGCGAAGAGGTTCGTGTAAGAGGAGAAGTGCGGTATGGCTGTAGGGAGAGGTAGATATAGAAGGGGAGGAGAGTGTATATGCTGGAAATTTGGGAGAAGAAAAAGGAGGCCGGTAAAGCGCGATTTAAGGTATCGAGATAGAGGTGTGTTGGTGTAGTTGTATGGTGTGAGGGTTTGGGTTGTATATAGGTTGGTATAACTGCTGTAAATTTAATGGTTGGCGAGAGAATATTACCGACGTGTGTGTGAAATGTTAGTGTGTGTCCTATGGGGAGATGTGTGTAGGTTCGGTATACCGGTTAAAGGTATAGGAGAGCTTCAGGACAACATGGTGAAGCGAGTACAAGATGGTATGATTCTTGAGTTGGTAACATTAGGGAATGCCGATATTGGTGGTCGCTACCTAGAAAGAGTAAGTTTATCGCCGATAGTGGTGATGGTCAGGAGACTCCGACGGGCAAGGGTTGGGTCGCCGATATTGGTGACGGAAGAGAATGGTATCTGTGTGTGTGTGCGGCTTATTAGGGGTCGAGAGATAGAAGATTGAGTGTTGGTTGCCGATATTGGTGACGAGTGAGACCATTTGTACTCATTGAGTGATTTCGGAAGGCCACATTTGATATGCAATATAACTAAATTACCGGAGCAGGTTAATTTTGTGTAGTCCCAGGGTGGCATTAAAGTAGGATTTAGGTTGTATAGATAGGGTACAAATAGGAATACTGAGTTTTCTGTTGTTGCATGTACTACTTGTAACCATAACTAGATTTTCGGGATAAGTTAATGCTGTATAGTCCCAGAGTTGTACTAAAGTATGACTTAGGTTGTGTAGATAGAGTGCATATAGAAATACTGAATTTTCTGTTATTGTATATGATACTTGTAACTTAATTTTTACCGTATTGAGTTATGTGTACTCACTCTTTATCATTAACAGATGAGGTAGGGATGGAGCCGGGATCGGAGTTGCTGGTTTCCGAGCCTAGTATACAGCGCAACAAGGCAATGATTCTTTTTGTGGGCGGAATGGAGTGTGTAAAAATTAATAGTAGTATGGATAATGTCTGCTGGAAGTGTATGAGATTTATTACTCTATAATGTATATATAGGATTGCATGTTTATCTTAATTTTGAATAATAAATTGCGGAAAGGTTTCTAGGTGTGTGATTGATTTGGAATGAGACTTTCGTGATTAGTCATAAAATTGTCTTAAACTGTGCTGTTAAAAATATAAAAAAAAAAGGGGCGTTAGACTAATACACTCCCAACTTAAAGGGAAATTTGCCTGAAACATGCTAAGGTGAATAGAAAGATAGAAGGACCCGCTCAAAGTTTCTCCAGCCCTAGTATTTTGACGTCTATCAATTCATATGCAAAGTGATTATGCCTGTGTTGGATCCAATATAGAAGAACATGGTTCTTTCTTTGTTAAAGAAAATAGACTTGGTAAAAATATTGCTGGATTTTCTTCGCTTTATAACTATGACTGCCGCAAGTTTATAGCTAATAACAGATACTCATGAAGAGAAGTGTAGTACTACCAGCAGATAACAGCATAAGGACCCAAAGGAAAAGAGTTCCAACATAGTTAACGGCTTTAAAATAGATATTGTCCTCAGATGACAAGGAAAAAATAAACCTTGTAAAAGTAAATGTTGTGTCCTTTTGAATGCTTCAAAAAGCTGCATAGATAGCTTTGCCATTGCCTCAGCAGCAGCAGCAGAGTCATCTATTCTTCTGAGAGGGAATGACATACGAGGCATTCCTTTCGCCTTCTGAGCGACTAATTTCGCAAAAGTAGCACCTGAAACTAAAAATGCAAGGGCGTAATGTGATAAATTAAAATTTGGCAGAAGATGATATCCTATGGCATCACTCTCACTGGAAATGTGAATCACCATAATCCCCCACCTCCATTTGGGTACTGTAAACAAATTCAATAGCCTCGACAGCATGAACTCTTCGTTTCATTTAGAAGGAAAAACCAATAGATAAATTGAATAGAATGATTACCTAAGAAACAAATTCAACGGAGACTAGCTAGGAGAAGTAACATAATATCAAACAGTAGGAAAATTATGTTGGAATAAAAAGTGAGAAAAATGAATCACCATTAGAGTCTAAATTTCCCTCTATAACGAGCTTCACCTCCTCGGATTCAATAGAAGCTACCATATAGTCAACGAACTCAGACCACGAGCCCCCTATTCCAATGGCGTCCCTCTGGCGCACCATTGAATAGCAAATAATTAACACGATAACTTAAATAAGTTGATCTGATTAACGTATTAAACTAAATAAAATCTTTCGAACTCCTTTGTCATTAGTTTTCTCATTGTCCAACATAAGAGGCAATCAAACAAAAACCAACAAGAAAAACCAAAAGAAAAAACACATATGCAGAAAAAGAAGGTATTGAAATCACCATGTCTTCAAGCTGCGAAACAGATCGTACGGCCTCCCAAGTATGGAAGCGGAAATCGGTGACATGAAGCGTGAGGTGAAAATGATCAGAAGGGAAAAGGTGGAACAAGAAGCGAGGCGGTAGATCCGAGACCGGATTCAGAAACTCGGTTTTCGGTTCGCCAAATATCGGTTCAAAATTCTCGAAGCCTGAAATTGCCATCGGCAGTTTGCTTGACAATGTTTTAGGCGGGGATATTCTCGTTGGTTAAATATTGAAACTTTAGAACGGTATGGTATAAATAGATACTATATATATATATATATATATATATATATACATACATAGATACACACATAAACATTATAATTGGCGAATCAGCAAGTGGGATCCTTGTATTCTCACCAATTTTGATGGCAAATTAAGAGTTTTGGCTCCAAAAATGAAAAGATGATAGCAAAAGAGAGGTGAATATAGAATACTAAAACTTCCATTATTATCAAGTCCATAAATATTAACTTACAATGTCTTTTCAAAATTGTCTTTTTTTTTTTATAGTTCATGTGAATAATCTATAATTGGGCAATGAGAATTTCATTCCATGTGTCTGGGATCCCTGGCAAGCACCAATGCAAGCAATCACTTATTTTTTTAGATGATCTAATAATATAATTAGATATATGATCATTATCTTTAAGATTAGAAAGAGCAGTTATATCTAAAATTTTAACTCTTGTATCTTTTATGGCAGCTTCAACAACTTCATCAGTTGATTCATCTTGTAACACTTCACTTCCTCGAATTAACGGAATAGTATTCTTACAACTGCCCCCTGTGTTCCAATCCCCATTAACAAAATGCTTTGGTGAAATAGTCCTGAAGAAAGCTTTAAGCTTGGGATGCAAGAGAAGTTGAGAATCGAGCCACATTATGAGATTATAGACAGTAAAATTCCTAGCAACATAAAAGTCGAATATATCTTCACTTGGCTTTTCATTCAAATACATCATATAATGATTTCTTCTAAACTTTTCTATGTTCCAGTGATGTCTTGTATTAAGAATTAGAACATAAAAAAATGCGAGGAATTGTTTAAGGAAAGTTGGTGGACGGTCCAAATGCATAGCAATATCGGTAGTTGGCTCTGTCATGTTTAAGGGCTCTAGCTCACAAAGAGTTACTGACCAATAACATAAAATAGTAGTATTTGTATTCACAAATCGATAAGCCCAACTAGGAGGATTAATAGCTCCAAAAGCTTTGATAAGGTCGTATTCCTTTCCAACATCTTGAATAAATGTGCTCTCCTTCCCACCACTAGCCATACACATTAAAGATTGGAACATCTGTCTACCTAATGAATCTCCTATGAATGCAATTGTTTTGTCCTGCATTCTAACAATGTAAGTTTAATATTAATTTAATGATAATTAAAAAAAAAACTTAAAATAGCTTTAAACAATACATAGAATCATTTTCTTAACAATACTTAAAGTGACATATTTAGACGAAATATGGTAATAAACATAAGAGATAAGTTGATGCATGTTGGATTAATTTTATACTTAAATAAATTAAAAGTTGTGATTATTTTAAATATAAAATTATTGTACTATTTAAGAGTTTCTCTAAAGAAACTTGTATATTTTTTCTTAAGAGAGTTTTATAGTTGTTCAGTGTAAAAAATAATCTAAATCAGCAATTAGGTTTGCATAAATTCAAGTAAAGAATAACAGTGCTAGAAGTTGTTAATTTTGCTTTACATACAAGGTTTCTCCTATTAACCAACCGTAGATTTACATATATATTTATATACATTGTTTGGTAGGCAAATATGATATTGAGTAAATTTTTAGTAGAAAGCTTGCAAGACCAATGTTTGACATAATTCACTAATTCAAGATTCATGAAAGAAGATTTTTCAACTATGAGAGAATTATATAAAAGAGAATAAGTTTAAATCGTTTAAATAGATTTAAGATTATATATTTTTTAAAAATATAAAACTATCATGTTATTTAAGGTCAAATCATTATGTTCTTATAATCTCATTTTTAGATAATTTGGTAATTTCACAAAATATTTTAAGAATTATTTCGTTTTCTAGTTTTTTGTCTAGGATTTAATTGTATTATACATTATTCTAGTTATGTGATAAAATCAAACGTTAATATATAATACTTAAGACTTCTCAAAAATAATTTCTACTTAAAAAATCTTTTCTGTAATATTTAAAATTTTCATTTCCAAATCCCTAAGTACTCACAAGTAATCATAATTTGCCCTAAATCATGAATTCATCTCTATGTTATTTGTCTTGCACTAAACATTTATAGATCTCTCTTTAAGAGATGATCTTGAGCAAAATCCAAAACATTGTTAATATAAGTACTTCATCTACTTCTTTAGTGTGTTAGGTTGAGCAAGCTCTTATTAGTAAAGATAAAATGGAGCAAACATTTATCTTCTTAAGAATGTAAAACGATCAAATTCAAGAATTTGGCAATCTTTTGGTTGCCATCGATATCTCTCATAAGCAGAATCTAGTCGTTTGATCTGCCTACATGACCACATTTTCGATAACCATTTTTTGCATCTATAACCAGAGTACAAAGGTCTCTTATTATCAATAACCCATTTACCCTTACCATAATTACACACTGCAAAATTAGAAACTTGAAACTCTTAGCTATATATAATCAAAATGTTGAAGAAGAAACTAAAATAACACAAAAAGCTAGTTGAAATAATATACATTACCTTTTTGGGCATGAAGATATCGGTATGAAAAATTCAATAATGAAGTGTTTGAATGCTCTAATGAATATTTTGTTCCTTCATTTGTGATAGAGTAAGTTGTGTTGTTTTTGTTATTCTCCTTTTGGTTTATAGATGTCATGGAATTGTTTGGAGAATTTATAAAAACACCCGCTTGAAAAATAATATTTTTGTGAAAATAAGAAAAATTATGGTGAAAAGGAGGTTCTTCCGTCTTTTATTATAACACAAATATATTGACATTACTTAATACATATACGATTTGCAGGTATCCCGGCACCTGCATGT